ATACACATACACATACACATACACATACACATACACATACACATACACATACACACATATATATATATATAAAATCAAAAGTTTAATAAACGGGGCCTAGCATCTAATTGTTAAGAACATTTTAAAACATTTCAGATAATCTTACTGATATGTTGCAAGTCTTTCAAACACTATTCCTTTCTTGTGAAGATAAATGTAACCACTCTGCACTTTTATTTGCCAGCATTTTTCAATACTGTATTTTGAGAACCAAACCTACATCAGGTTTAAAGTTCAATGTTATATTAAAAATGTCTCACTCCCAGTATTTAACATATCGTCTCCACTTTCACATGTTTAGTGCTGATGTGAAAAGTCTTATTTTTGTACATGATGTGTGATAGCCTTCTGTACCACTGAAACTTTAGTGAAGCCTTTTCTTTCATGTAAAGCAATTGTTTCTCCTTTCCTGATGTAACACAATATTAGTGGAATGGGAGAAGCTGTGCGATGGACAAACGTATTCAGATGGTTCCTAATCCATATCTGAATTTGGATTGCTAGTGAAATATAGGTGCATTTTGATATTGTATGTTTGGCTGGAAAGCAGATGTATTTTATCATGCTATGCCAGTCATGTACCAGAGTAGCACTCATTTTAATCACAGGCAAGGAAAGACTAATTTTCCCCATCTTATTTTTCACCTTCTCAAGATTGCTTCTTGTACTTACTGCTGTTTCCATGAACTGCCCCTGATTTCTCAATTGCCTCTTAGCTGTCAGTTATGGTTTCCTCAATTAAATAGCATATTGGTTTTGATATGTAAATGGAAAAGAAAAGGACAGTAGGGAAAGGGATAGCAGACATTTTTCATGGTCATTCCTAGCCCGATTGTGATAAATGTAATACTGAATCCCAAAAAATTAACACACACACACACACACACACACACACACACACACACATTGGAATACATTAGGAAGTTTCCTCTCTCTCAGTTGTACAATTTCTTGTATTCTCAAATATGCATCACAGTTGCAGCTTTTTTAGAAAATAAGTATGCATCAATGTTTAAGATGTTTATGATATGTAATATAGGTGCCGCAATATTGGATATATGTTGAATCATAGAAAAGCTGACATATTAGCTAGAGTTTCATAAAACATTGTGTTTTTGCTTTTCCCTAGGGTAAAAATCTGTGTCCACCTGCATCAGGTGGAGCAAAGCTGAATTATACTGTTCTGATTGGAGAAACTCCCTGCACAGTCACCATCTCTGAGACACAATTACTTTGTGAACCTCCAAATCTCACTGGGCAACATAAAGTTATGGTGAGCTTCAAAAATCAAGATTTTTGTCTCCACCTTTTGTCTTTTCTACTTTTCAAATGTCAGAGTTGACTCCCATTCCCAATCTAGCTCTTATTCAAAGAGGGGGGGGGCTTTTTGATTAAAAAGAAGATAAGAATTTCCAAAATCACGAATTTCCTCAAAATGTAATATTTTTATTTGCATGAGTGTCTTTAATTCAGGATCATTATAAAAATTGCTGAAATAATTATATGAATCTGGTCATATGATTAGACCAAAGGGCTAATTAACTACCATTAATTTACACATGTAAAATATATAATATCATAAAGAAATATGTTGAAATTTTAAAACATTTTCACCATGATGTGTTAGTGTGTTGTGCATACATACATCTATTATCCAAGCACACACTGGCACAGTATGAATTTTGCATAAGGCTTTATAGAACAATAATAGTTACAGCAGCTGTAACTCTGAACTGCTCATTTGCAAACAAAAATACCCTGCAGCTATTGAAAGACAAAAAAAAGCTGTCACACCTTTGAGCCTAACTACTTTTATTGGGGCAAGAGCTTTGGTAGATAACAGCGCATCTCAGTGGGTGCAAAAGTCTCCAGCATACCTTATCTCAGGTCACGCTGATGGATGCTACAGTTGAAGGCAAGATCAGCTTGCTGGCAGATCTGTAAGAGAAAATTACCCTGGATATTTTGCAGAACAAATAAGATACAGGTGAAACTTGAAAAATTAGAATATCATGCAAAAGTTGATTTATTTCAGTAATGCAACTTAAAAGGTGAAATTAATATATAATATAAGACTCATTATATGCAAAGCAAGATAGTTCAAGCCGTGATTTGTCATAATTGTGATGATTATGGCATACAACTCATGAAAACCCCAAATCCACCATCACAGAAAATTAGAATATTACATGCAATCAATAAAACAAGAATTGTACATAGAACAACATCGGACCTCTGAAAAGTATAAGCATGCATGTGTACTCAGTACTTGGTTTGGGCCCCTTTTGCAGCAATTACTGACTCAATGTGGCGTGGCATGGAAGCTATCAGCCTGTGGCACTGTTGAGGTGTTATGGAAGACCAGGATGCTTCAATAGTGGCCTTCTGCTCTTCTGCATTGTTTGGTCTCATGTCTCTCATCTTCTCTTGGCAATGCCCATAGATTCTCTATGGGGTTCAGGTCAGGTGAGTTTGCTGGCCAATCAAGCACAGTAATACTACAGTCATTGAGTCAGGTTTGGTGCTTTCAGTAGTGTGGGCAGCTGGAAAATGAAGTCAGCATCCCCATAAAGCTCGTCTGCGGAAGGAAGCATGAAGTGCTCGAAAATCTCCTTGTAGATGGCTGTGTTGACCCTGGTCTTAATGAAGTACAGTGGTCCAAAGTCCTGTTACTCCTTGGTCCAAAGTCCTCTTTTCTGATGAGAGCAACTTTTGCCAAAAGCACCAAAAACTGGTTCAATGACGGTGGGATTACTGTGCTTGATTGGCCTCTCCATTCTTCCTCCATACTATGGGTCCTTGGTTTCCAAATGAGATGCAAAAGTTGCTCTCATCAGAAAAGAGGAGCAAGAGGACTTTGGACCTGACCTCTATAGAGAATCTATGGGGCATTGTCAAGAGAAAGATGAGAGACATGAGACCGAACAATGCAGAAGAGCTGAAGGCCACTATTGAAGCATCCTGGTCTTCCATAACACCTCAGCAGTGCCACAGGCTGATAGTTTCCATGCCATGCCGCATTGAGTCAGTAATTGCTGCAAAAGGGGCCCAAACCAAGTACTGAGTACACATGCATGCTTATACTTTTCAGAGGTCCGATATTGTTCTATGTACAATCTTTGTTTTATTGATTGCATGTAATATTATAATTTTCTGAGCTGGTGGATTTGGGGTTTTCATGAGCTGTATGCAATAATCATCATAATTATGACAAATCACGGTTTGAACTATCTTGCTTTGCATGTAATGAGTCTTATCTCATATATTAGTTTCACCTTTTAAGTTGCATTGCTGAAATAAATGAACTTTTGCACAATATTCTAATTTTTCAAGTTTCACCTATATGTCCTTATTTGTAAGATGTATATCACACCTTTTCTCCAATAACTTAAGGTGACATATAGCAATTTCCCAAATTTCTCTGTAATGTCAAATGTGAGATAAGATGGGGTGGAAAAGTAACCTGCTTAAAAACACTTTGTTTGTTTGTTTATTGCTAACAATAGTCTAGAAGTGGAGTCTTCCCACTTCTATGCTAAGACCTTAAGCACCAAATCACACAAGGGAAAACAGTTAAAAAGTTGAAGAATATTAGTAGCATTGTTACAGACCTTTATATTGGGGGGGGGATATCAGCAGATATCAGCAGATCCAAATGATCTCACCTTCATATTGGCTCATTTTAATGATGACTTGCATGCAGTTATCTTCGTGTTTAGGAATGGTAGATATTTATGACAAATAAGCATGGATTTAAAAAATAAAGTCTATCCCAAACTGAGCTAAAACTGTGATGACCTTTTGGACAGATTTGTATTGTTTCCTTAGCAATATGGAAGTGGTTTGTTGTAGCTTTCTATTGGACATTTTAACTTGTAAGTGATTTCATTTCAATAGCTGGTCTTTTTTATTTAAATGTCAGAACAGATGATGCACAACTGTGAAGTTTGTTGTAGAGATAGATTAGGAATATACAGTTATTTGCTACAGAAGGCTGTGCTATGCCATGTGTAGTCTATTTGCTTAAGCACTTACTCATTCACACCATTTACATTCAATGCAGCATTATTGTGAGGAACATACTCATCTTGTTCTCAATTATTTTGCTGGAGATTGCTAGTTTCTTCTTTACCATCAATACAGCCTGGAGCCATGGGTAGATTGTTCCTTTAGAGACACTTGCATATTTTTAGGAGAATATTTTTCTTGAGCTAGTGAACTGCTTGTTTTGAAAGCTGTGAGGACTTTACAAAAATTGTCATTTTTTAAAACTCCATTTGAAGTCATTTCATATCACCCAAATAATGTCCAATTGTAATTAAATTTTTTTCTGCTTTTGTCCCTGGTAGTCTTGATTTTATTAAAATACTATTATCGACATGCCTTGGATTACTTTATAAAGCACATAATCTTTTTCCTTAAAAATAAAAGTGGGAACACTTTTGAAGTTTAGCACAACTTGCATGAAGCTTTGACTAGTGATAACTTTCTCCAGATTTACCTTCTAAACTGAACTGAATCAAAATATAACAAAAAGATATATTTATGAAATCAAGCTTCCCTTTTCATCAGATGAATCTGATGAACCAAAAGCATAATCAAGTCCATCTATTGACATATTAAAATATATATAGTATTGTAAATACAGCAAAAGACTAAATTATGAAATCTGGAGCAGTTTTCACATCATTTGTCCAATACTATGATTTATATATCATAAGCACTTGAACTAAACATCTATAAAGTGTATACCAGTTTATTCTTTCACAACTCTAACTATCTCCCCCAGTCTTGTTTTTCCATTTATTCTTTTGTTTTTTCTTTGCCTTCTGTACTCTCACTCTATGTTCCTTTGTCAATGAAATACTTATTCTCATATATTCATGGTTTATAAAAGAAAGCTGAAAACTTATGTTATGAAAGTCAAATGAAGTTATCATGTAATCAAAGGAATGTGGAAAATAGTGCAAGGATAACAAATATGTTGCAACTCAAAGGCTTTGCTGTGTTTCAAGAAGGATGTGACCTTTCTTTCTATGGGGATGTTACTTGCAAGGTCTTATCTACAACTTTGTAAATGTTTAGTGTTTTATGACTTTGAAAACGTATTTAGCATTTTGGGAATTATTTCCAGAACAGCAGTAATATGTCAGGCTCCAGTGCCTAAAACTATATGTTTCTTTTTTAAAAAAAAGTCAGCTCCTTGACAAAAATTAACAGTTTTCATCTAAGCGTTAACTCCCAAGTAAACAAATGGAAGGACTTATACAAGATAAGTGTTCCTTTTCATTGTCAACCCTATTCCCAGAATCCTTACTAACACATTTCTTGGTACAAATGTTATCTTTCCAAGTGACTGTTTTTATTCCAAATTAATCTCTATACACACTAATGTAATTCATCTTATGATTGACTCTCTTTGATGGTTAGGTGCATGTAGGTGGCATCATTTTCTCACCTGGCTCAGTGAATGTGATCTCAGATAGCCTGCTGACTTTGCCAGCTATTGTCAGTATTGCAGCAGGAGGCAGTCTTCTTCTCATCATAGTCATCATAGTCCTCATTGCCTACAAGCGTAAGTCTCGTGAAAATGATCTCACACTCAAGAGACTTCAGATGCAGATGGACAACCTCGAGTCTCGGGTAGCTCTTGAGTGCAAAGAAGGTCAGTATTACTCCCTAATTTCAAATCAGCTGTCCAGTAAAATATGACATCCATTCAGGCTGGGGACTACTTGGTTTTATTGTTTCTGAATAGTATTTGTATATGAAAGAGAGTCATTGAAATCAGTTTTAGGTGACAGAAACCATCAGAAACATGAAGAGACAGTTTAAATTCTTAATACAAGAAAATAATGCTGCCAATTTTGCTCTAAAAAGTCCAAAATATTATAGTATAATAATATAATACAATGCATGACAAATTGCTGGTATGCTCATTTTAGTGTCTCAACTGGTTATATCATTAGCTTATTAATTCCTGACCATTGTAATAAAGTTACTTCTAAAGATCTACTGCTTTTCATCCTCCCTTGATTAAGTCAATAAATAGTTCCTGAAGAATGTTACTTCATGCATATATGCATACAAAAACATTCATAATTATGCCAATATATGCATGCTCACACCATATACACATGCACGCGTGCGTGCACACACACACACACACACACACACACACACACACACACATACACAAGCATGCTTAATGGACAACTGTTTAGCATCTAAGCCCTTCATTTAGTTAGGAGTTGTGGTGACGCAGGAGTTAGAATGCACTATTCAGGCTAAACTATGCCCACAGCCTGGAGTTCGATTCTAATTGGCTCAAATCTGACTCCCCTTTGCATCCTTCCAAGGTCAATAAAATGAGGACCCAGATTGTTGGGGGGACAATATGCTGACATTGTAAAATGCTCAGTGCTGTAAAGTACTATGGATCAGTGTATAAGTTGAAGTGTTATTGCTATTGCTATCTAGTTCCTATTATCAGTTAAGTATAGCATTGACAAATGGCCATGTCCTTTAATTCCTTATTACCTTTTATCAACCCAGTAAGAGTTATTTCATAGTACATATCTGTCTCAATATCATTGACTCAAAGAATAAATCCATTTCAGTCACTGTACTTAACCAATATAAAACTTCATAAAGGCTTGCATTTTTTTTATTTATTAACTATCCTCATTCCCATTAATATATACAGTACACACAACTCTGTTTGGTTTGCCTAATATGACTTTTCTCCATTCATTGACTACATCTCCAGTAGTGAGCAGTCCAAGTGTAGTTTCCATAGTAACTGCCTGCCGCTTAACCTATTTCCTTTGATCCAGTATAAATTTAACAGGGCTTGAGCCCCACATACAGCTGTCAAATAAACATTTGGTCAATCTCTCTCAAATACACATATAGATGTAAAATGCCCCCTTTTACAGCCAGAGAAGTTTGGATTTTTTCCCATGAGTGTCTGTATGTGTCAGAAGACAGTAACAAGTATATTGAATGCAGAGACATCCTTTGCTTGACTAATGTGTGGAGAAAAGGATTAGCACTTGATCCTATTTCAGAAAGATGTATAAAATTTGTTGGTGCCAGGTCATTAGGCTTGGCAATCTGTGGATCTTTTTCTGAAGGCATTTCATGGGGAAGTTTAAGGAAAGCCAGGATCCTTTGCAATCACAAGGTGCTGGAACCAGGCTGTAAAATAATTTGTACATTTTGGTGTAAAAATCAAGAAGCTTAGCATATGAAATACTGTTACAGCCACCTGGCTGGCAAAAAAAGCAGATCAACTTGTTGAAATGCAGACAGCATAAAGCAAAGGCAGATAAAAGGTAAATTGAGCTGACTGATTTGCCATAGATAAGCACAGACTGAAAAGTCTCAATTATTTAACTACAGCATCAAACAAAAGGTCCTTGTGCCTATTGCCTTTTTCTTTATGAATTTGCTGAAACAGCTCTTCTGGATATTGGAATGTGTCACTACCTCTTGATGGATTAGATAGTGTAACTCATATGCACATTTATCCCAAGACAGACAGACAGTCCTCCCTTCCTCCTCCCCCCCACCTCATGTGGTGTTTAGAGCATCATCTAAACACACTGGCAGGGTTAAAATTTGGTACCTATGTTATCCTGCCTACCTCAAAATGTGAGAAAGACCCAGATTAACAAGGTCTACACCAGATATGGGGCCAGGATAATTTAACAATAAGTGGACTACTGGAATAAAACCTACATGGCAGAGACAAGAAAATCTGGAATTGATGGAATATTACTATTACTATTATTATTGATGGAATTTATATATTAGATACGAGAGGGCACATATGAGAAACTGTGGATCCACACTAAATGAGAAAGAGCTAACACATCAACATAGTGAAGAGGAAGTTGCTCTCACAATTTCAGATAGAAGAAATACACATTACATCTCAGGCTTACAGTGAGAAGACCCTGAAGCACACAAGATGTTCCACCAACACCTGAAGCTGAAGTGTCACTGCTATTCTTTCCATTGTTGAACACAGCTGCTGACATGAGGCTGATATGATATACACAGTATATATGTGGTATATTATAAACTCCAACATCTTCCAAAAATGGCATCAGAGCCTTCTGTTAAAAAGAATGCAGTGTTAGGAGCAGCTAAGATACTGTGCAAGAACTCCTCAAACTCCCAGGCTTCACACACACACACACACACACAGAGAGAGAGAGAGAGAGAGAGAGAGAGAGAGAGAGAGAGAGTGAGAGAGAGAGAGAGAGAGAGAATGCAAATAAGATAGATTTTCACATTCAGCAGCAAGATTTCAACATTCTATTTAGCAGGTTAATTTTCATAGGGCTATGATGTCTTCAGCACAATATATTAGAAAGGTGAAATGTGATAACTGCCATGTATGCACAGTATTTGTACGGAACTTCAGCTTGAAAAGAAGGAATTGGACAAGTGTTACATGCATGCTATCCGTATACACATTTCCCTACTGTTACAATTGGACTATATCAGTTTCCATGCCCTATCACTATGTACATGAGGCAGATCTTCTGTTGTCCATGAATCTCGTTATAGTTTTGAATCTCAATTAATTTTCTTCCCTGACCCTAGATAAGCTATAAAACATGGGGATGGTTTCCTTCTGCTAGGTACATCAAAAGGACATGAGGAATAGAGGAATTGAGTAAGTGAGAGAGTAAAAAAGCCACACAAATTGATTTAAAAATAGGATCTTTATTTTTATCTAGTGCCTTCCAAGGCATTTTCAGTGCTTACATACAAGGTGTGAACAGAATACAAATTAGGAAGTGTGTTTTGTTTCAGCATCTGTTCTTCGCATTGTGCTCTTTCTCTCTCATACTGAGGAAGTGGCTCCCTGCTTCAGGGCATGTCGTGGTGACACAGAGAGGTCTGGAGTAAACGAGCTTCCTGAGTTGGCTCATTTGTAGTCCTTGATTGTTTGTACCTCATCCTCCAATCCCAGAACCCGTCTCTTGATTGCCTGTCTTTCTCACTCCCTTTCTCTAATAGCTTTTGCAGAGCTGCAGACAGACATCAATGAGTTAACCAGTGACCTGGACCGCTCAGGGATCCCGTATCTTGATTATCGCACATATGCCATGAGAGTCCTCTTCCCTGGCATTGAAGATCATCCTGTCCTGCGTGAACTAGAGGTAATGGAGTAGCTGTATGTTCTCTATCTCAGTCTCATCAGGTAAAACTAGTGATGTTCCCGAGGTCCCTTCTGAGAGGCTCGATTAAAACCCCATGGAAGGTGGAAAGGACCTTTCCACCTCCCATGCTGAATCTTATTAGACGTGTTGGGATAAGCACAATGAACACTGACATTCATTATAACATAAGCCTTGCATTTTATATATATTTACACACAGTTTGTTTTCTTTTGATTGCCTTTGTATAGCTTTTGCCCTGACATTTTTTCTTTCTTTCTCTATCACTAAAACTCCATGACTAGTCCTCCATGACCAACAGCAAAAGAGCTGCATTTATTACCGATGACTGGCTAAATTCTCTTTGAATTCTCCCTTTGTGAAAAAAAGCCAAAGGGGAGCTTGGGAAATCCTTTCTCTGGTTTGCCTAAGGGAATAAGCCTCCCGTTTTGCAAAGAAGCTTTTCTGCATCTTGTCCTCCACTTGGCAAAGCTTTTGTGCAAGAGAAAGACCTTGGTCACATCACTTCAGCTTTGTCTATATTGTATGCTGGATTGACTAAGTATATCACCAGGCACCCCAATTTTGAGGGAGGTTTTTTTTTCATGTTGTTAAAGCAATGGCAGGAGCAGATGGGACCCATTATTCAGTATGAAAATGCTGCTGCTGACATTTGACCATAGAAAAACAATGAAGGGGAAACTCCATCAGAAACATTTTTACACATTCATTACAAACACCACATGTGTGAGAGTAATAATATGGGAATACCCATGCCTCAATAAGCCACCAGGGTGCCCTGTGAAAATAGTTTTTCATTTTTGCTGCTGATGGCTCCTGAAAAGACATTTCCCATTTCACTGCTTGCTTTGTCTGAAAAGCTCGATCGCCTTATTTTCTCTAGATAGAAGCTGGAGCTCTTAACTTTGCCAGTAAAAACTGATTGAATAATTTATTATTGGAGAAACTATGGAGCTCTAGCTTCCTTTAACCATATAGCTTTCAAAGAAGACATGCCTCATGGTAGAACGTTCTTTTAATGTAGCATTCTTTTAAGGAGAACTACAGCATCCTACCTATTGTGGGTTGGTATACTGATTATTAGGGGAAGTCCTTCTTTAGGGGTATAATTCAATTAAAACAGGCAGGTACTGTAATTCAAGTGATAATATGTAATCCAAGACTGGGAGATCAAAATTTAACTACAAAAGCACTATTATATATACTTAGTAAATTCATTTCACTATTTTCTTTGGTTCTTTTGCAGAGATTAATGTTTTTTTGTATTTTAAAATGATTTAGGTTGCTATTAAATGAAGTTTGTTACTTTCCTTAAATTAACTAAATTATTTATATGGGTATAAAAAAATTATACCTGGGGATACCAGTGTTCCATCACCCTTGCTTTCTCTTGTAGATGTAGAAAATTGGAAATAAAACTGATGGTTGAAACTGATTTTGCCATTCCCCCCAAAAAGTAGGATAATGATCAATGTGACACTGCTGTTTAGTTATGTAATATAAATAAGTTGAAAATATAAGTCAGTGAGAAATTTGTGTACAAATTTTATTATCGTGAATTATAATGCATAATTTACATCCAGAACTATCAGAAAAATGTGTTTATGTGTACATGTATTAGAGTTTTACAGTGGAGTAAGAGTCTAAACCAGTACATTACCTATGTGAATGTCATTTCTGTGCAGTATGTCACAACTCAAGAGTATTTTGTTTTAAATGTGCAACACTGACAATATAACATTGTAAATAACATCACTCTTAAAAAACAGTTTTCCAATTTTAAATTATTTTAACTAAATATTTTAAAGAATTTCTAAACAAGCACAATAATGAATTTGAAAATAATTAATAATAGAATACAATTGAGTAATCAAGGGATTGTTAAATGTCATGGAGGTTATTGCTTTCTAATATATCAGTAATGTGTTGTAAATAGTTAAATATATTTTGTAAATTATGTCATGTTAAATGATTAAGAGTTGCTATTAAACTAAAAGTGAATACATATGAAGAACGATGGTCAACACAATATAAATCATTCAATGGAATTATAGCTATAATAAATTCAGCTCATATTACTAAGAATCTATTCTGATTTAGGTATCTCATAAAGTTGAGATATGGATTTTATGCAGAGCTAAAGCCAAATTTTGGATGTAGCATCAATTCATGCATTGTATTATAATACTAATGTTTTCCAGTTTAATTGATATCTCTACCAGATTTACTATAAGGGTACAAAGTTAACACTTTTGAAATTTTATAGGTCCAAGGGAATGGACAGCAGAATGTGGAAAAAGCCCTGAAGCTCTTTGCCCAGCTACTCAACAATAAGGTTTTTTTATTGACATTTATCCGTACCCTGGAATTACAACGAAGTTTCTCCATGCGTGACCGGGGCAATGTGGCTTCCCTCATCATGACAGGACTTCAAGGAAAGCTAGAATATGCCACTGATGTCCTCAAGCAATTGTTGTCTGACTTGATTGAGAAGAACCTGGAGAACAAAAACCACCCTAAATTGCTCCTACGCAGGTAAGAATGGAAAATTCGGAACTTTGCACAAAAGTTCTATAATTTCAGAGCAAAAGTGGTCATTTAGATGAGTATGAGGTTTGGGGTGAGGTTGTGATTGCTCCCTCATATTTATTTATCAAGCATAAATTTTAAACGATACCTATCAAGTGCTGCAAGATGCTATGAGGTTTCTATTTCAGTTTGCATCTAGGAAATCTTGTGCTTAGTTAAAATACTTGATATTCCTGCCACTGTTCTTCTTTCCCATGGATTGTTCAAAAATTAGCATTTGACTGGTGTTTTTTGTTGTCCAAGAGAAGATAAAGAGGATAGTTCAACTGTAAATCTAACATTTCAGAGTGAGCAGAGCAAAGCTACAGTAGCAACTTACATTAGAGCTGGCCAGCAGGAAACAGGCAGGTGTTATACAACTCAATGTTATACTTATTGTAGATAGTCATTTGGTTAAACTAGAAAATTCATCTTTTGTGAAAACTTTTGTGAAAAGTTAATACTATGGATCATTTTTCCTATTTGGAATGCATGTTACATTAGAACATAAATAAGTGAGTTTGCTGAATTTAATGAAGAGCTGTGATGGCACAGTGGTTAGAATGTTGTATTGCAAACTAATTCTGATGACTGCCAGCAGTTTGATCCTGACTAACTCAAGGTTGACTCAGCCTTCCATCTTTCCAAGGTTGGTAAAATGAGGATCCACATTGTTGGGAGCAATATGCTGACTCCGTAAACTGCTTAGAGAGGGCTATAAAGTACTATATATCTAACAACACAAATATTTGTCATTAATGAGCTATTTGACTTAGTGTGTCATACACATTTGAGATGATTTTATTATAGATACATCTAGGAGAGCCAGTATAATATAATGGTTAAGCAACTGGACTAGATAAGGAGAGGACTTATATCCCCTTCCTTAGATATAGAGCCTCCTGGGTGACTTCAGGCCAGTCATAATGAAGTTATGAATTACAGTTAATAATTTCAATGAAGATGCCTCTATCCTCCTGTGGATTAATTTGAGCTTATAACATTTGTGATTAGTTCATATTTTTATACACATACACTTATGGATTGTTTCAAAACCATGGTCATCTTCTTCCAACCCAGCTTCCCTTAATATATATATTTGGCATACAGCCTTGTCTTATTCTTTTGCCAATCTGAAATCAGTCTGTTTCAGTGTTTTGAAGCATGTACTCATGCAGTGATATCCTGACCTGTGTATAAATTTTTCAAGAGGGCAGTGAGATGTTCTGAGATTCCCATTTTCTGACCACTTTCCATAATTTGACATAGTTTGACATGATCAATACAAATATAGGATAGTCCTCTCCCCTAATTACACCATCTCTGAAGTTTCTAAGAATTTGAATGAGGTAATCTATTCAGAGGGAAATATAGTTTTCCATCCAGAAACATTTCAGAATGAGAACTTATCTACAGTTTAGAAATACAAACAAAAATGATTTTTTTTAATCCCTGTGATCCGACAATAAAGGGGAGGGAATTTTCAATCTAGTAAGAACACCATATACCAATGGGACATTCTGCTTTTGTAATTGCTGTTTCGTACCACCTTCGGTGACTCCAAAATTGAGCTGGAGATTCTTACAAGAGCTTTTCACCTGACCTACACCAGAAAGTTCTTGAAGGTTTCCCTGTTGTCAAGGAACAGCTCCACAAGGGATGACCTAGGTGACAGTAATAAGTAAGAATATGTGGTGGAGGTTTTGACAGTTTGACAATTTAAATGCATTGTTCAGCTTCAGCAAACTGACCCTGACCTGCAAGAACATTAGCCATATTATTCTACATTTTCCATTTGTCAGTTTTTTATTCCCAGTTCATTCCATTGCTACCTTACCTGATATGTTGCTAAGAGTCTGCCTTCCACCACCATTACTATCCTCCCCAAAAAACTAGTTATTATGCCTGGACAAGTAATTAGAGGAGTCAATTAAGTCATGCTGATATTTTGTTCTTTAAAAAATGTGACCTTACCTGCATTTCAGCATATCCAATTTCAGCAAGCCATTAAGAATACATTTTAAACCTTATATAGGTTCCTTTTTTGTTAAACAAAAGAGCTATGACTTGTAAAGTCACTGAAGGTGGCATAATGTGTACAGTAGAAAGTTGTCTAGTTTCTCTTTTTCTCTCCAACATCCTATCTAAATGAGTGTCAGACGTGGGCAACTACCATTGCTTTTTTATCAACATACAGCCCAGAGGTGGGTTTCTGCCAGTTCGCCCTGGATCGGGCAAACCGGTAGTGGCGGAAGGCTCTGCCCACCTGCCTGGATGCTTCTGTGTATGCACAGAAGCATCACACAAGCAGGTATGTATGCACATGAGCGAAGTAAAATAAATTGAAATCCACCACTGATACAGCCTGATGACTCCTACCTCTGTTTACAGTGCCCTCCATTTCAGTTTATAGGGCAGCAGTAGAAAAAAACCAAAACCTTATAAAATGTATAGGGATATTGTGTGTTGGTATAGTGCTTCTCTGCTATTCAAGAGGGATGTAATGGAGGCAATCGTTTTCTTTTTTCCAACTGAAGGCCCTCATGTAACCACCCATGAAATTATACAATAAAATTAACACTTTGTTACCCGGGACAGGAACAGAAAATACACTGATGAAAAATTGCATTTTTTTTTCTTAAAACCAAAACTCTATATAGCACAACTGGGATATTATGCTACATTGGCCACTGGGCCTTAAGGCAGGGCACTTCTAGAGTATGTGAGATGACTACCTCACTTTCCAAAATGCAATACTGTTCCCCCCTCACATAGGAGGTAAAAGCACAGAAGAACCATCTGTCTCAGCAATGCCATGAAGTTACATAGGGCCTTAGGTCACAGACATACTCAGATATTTTTCCCTACTCCCTATGGCCACTAATTCCACCTTTCCTCAGACTACTTCATCTTCTATTAGCCCTGTCAAAAGGAAGGGAACAAGATGAAGGACAAGTATACTGGAAAACATGTTTCCTCAGGAATTAGGAATGGACAGGAGATTAATCTGAGAGGAGATTCAGGTCAAGGATTCAGTACACCTAATTTATCTGAATTTCAGAAGGAATATAGTCCTTATGACAAAGCCATTTCATATTATGTTATGTTGCTTTCATTTGCTTCATAAAAAACAAGAGCACATAGACTAATCTTTTCAGTCAGCATTAAAGTTTTAGAGTAGTGATAACCCTAAAAGACAATCTTTGTTCAATACATATAGTTTCTATTACTGCAAGGAAAGTTTACTCAGGGATATTTTTAAAAGTCTATTTGCCAGGGCAAATAACCCTGTGCTATGTAATACTTCCAGGTTTACAACAGTGTGTTTTTGTCACTTTGATAAGACTGGTCACATTGTGCTATGAAAAAGATACAAATGGCTGTAAAACAGAGCAAATGTTGTCATTATTTACTTCATAATAATCTTCCCAATTTTAATAAATTAAGTATGACCCTGAGAGAAGGATTCCGATATTCATCCAGGAGTTGTAGATTTGCACAAAAGGTATAAGTAAGAATATTGTATGTGCTTTAAAGAAATGTACATTGGGAATAAGTTTTAAGATCACATTTTGAAGCTGCATTATAGGTTTTTTAATGTTAATTATTTTACTATGGAAATAGGAACACTGAAGCATATTCTCTTTTAGACTTTTTTCCAAATATAAGAATAAGCGCTCCTATTTCCTATCTGGTACTTTAGCACTAACCCTAGAATTGAGAAAATGTTCCCAAATAGAAAGATACAATGTAGTAGCAACACATAATCTTATTGTGATATTGCTTACTCTGCAATTCTGCTACGTTTACCCTTTACATCTGCCATGAAAATGCATCAGGGACATGAGTGGGCCCACAACAAACAGAAATTAAAATGATAACTAGATGCAATTTCTTCTCCAAATAAACATCTGTTTAAATTTTCCCCAAAAAATCTTTTGTGGTGTAAGAAGCTTAGCAATATCATTTGGCTATTACTCACTTAAAAATGTGACCTGCATATCTGTCTAGGTTAAATGGGATGATGTCAAAGTTAAGAACTCCAAATTCATATTTATTTGGATTTTAAATTCCTGCTGAAGTCAGCAGAACAGTTCATTTTCAGAGCATTGCCAAAAGCAAAGTGCCTTCTTCCTGTGTTTTAAAATTGTGGGTTACCTGATTCTGTGTGTAGTTTCTTTCTCTGGCCCTCCAGGCCTACTGCTCAAACATTGCAGAGATGAAATAGCATAATTCCTCAGATCCAGACAGATGCAATTTTCAATTGTAAACAGCAAATGTGGGTCTGTCTTGATGCATGGAGCTACTGGGGCTTGAAGATTTTATTAATATAGATGACAAAATGAGATCACCAGATCTACATTTCCCATTCGAATGTGTGAGCTGGCTATAGGTTTTATACTTAAATTCTCATACAAGGAAATATGAAAGTGCTTGTAAGATTCACGGGTGAAATGCTCTGAAGTCTGCTACCAGTTCGCTTTGCTACCAGTTCGCTTCGCATGCTGCATGCTTTGTTGCCATGCGCACCACAGGTGCTACTGTGCAGCGCTGAAAAAGGAGGATTAAGAAGCCTTTTCTGAGTCTGCAAAGGTAAGTAGAACAGCGAGGGCGGGGACAGCTGTGCCACACAATTTTGATTCGCTGGGAAGCAGGATTTCCTGCTTTCTAGCAAATATAAATCGTGTGGCATAGCTGATTACCCCACAGCTGATTGTCAGAACTACCAGTTCACCCGAACCAGTAACATTTTTCTACTACCGGTTTAGGCGAACCAGTAGAATTTTTACTACCAGTTTGGATGAACCAGTCCAAACTGGTAGCATTTCACCCCTGGTAGCCTTGTACTATATTTTATATAATAATTTCTATCTTGCTTGGGAGAAATTTGTTTTGTTGTTGTTTAATTTGCAAAGCCAACCAATTGCAAATTGCAACTCTAGACAACCTACACAGAGTTATTTTCT